TCCCACTTGAATGCCTCTTTGATCTAGATTGCTTTTAGTTGGGAGTCTATCCAAAAACAATCTCCAAGCAAAAAAGGAAATTCTTCCAAGCATAAGATTATTCCATATTGCTTTGTACAGGTCATTTTCCATCACACATTGATCAGCATATAAAATAGAATAGGCCTTCTTAACAAAATATTCTTCATTGCCATCATGTTTCCAAATTCTCCTATCTTCAATACGTTTTTTCATCCTTATCCCTGCTATCTATTCTAGTAGTAATCTCTCATCCTCTTTAGCCCTCCCTAATAAATCCCTCCTCCAATTAGTCTTCACCTCCATTCCTCCTCACACCACTCCCCATCTCACTAATTTTTATATCTACATTTTTTTGTCAAATTTCGTAATCTTAGAAACAATGACCCAAGGTTTCTCCCTCCTAGCCAATCATCCTTCCAAAATTTAATTCTATTACCCTCTCCAACCTCCCAAACAAAAGCATTACCTACTATCTCACCCATTTCACTACCAACAGTCCCTAATATAACAATGTCTTCCCATACTTTTGATAATCTTCTCCTTCTAATATTACCTATGCCTACCACACCTCCCCTTTTGTTATAATATTTTTCTTTTAGAACTTACTTCCACAGCCCTTCAGAATTATCCTCAAAACAAGCCCACCATTTCCCTAGCAAAGCTAAATTGCATTTCCTTAAATCCTGAACCCCTAAGCCCCCTTTCTTCTTGTCTAAACATACCCACTCCCACCTCACCCAACAAATCTTCCTCTCCTCTTCCCCAACCTTACCCCAAAGGAAGTCCCTTTGAATTTTCTTAATAATTTTCAACACACAAGCAAGTAATTTAAATAATGATAGATAGTACAAAAGGAGAGAAGAAAGTACCCATTTAAGGAGAGTTAGGCGACCACCAAAGGACAGGGATCGAGCTTTCCATCTGGCTAGTCTTTTGTTGAATTTCTCTATTACTGGCAGCCACATTCTTCTTTTCCTCGAATCTTCCCCAACTAGGATACCCAAGTAACTAAACGGAATCACACCCATCTTGTAGTTTAGTAAGTTGGTTGCCCTTGACAACCAATTATTCTCTATGTTAAATGCATATAAACTACTCTTCTTGAGATTTACTCTTAGGCACGACATCAATTCGAACCATCTTAAAATACCTTTTACCATCCAAATGTGGTCCATTCTAGCCTTTCTCATGATCATTGTGTCATCAGCATTTAATATGGTAAATTTTAAATTTTAAAATTTTAAAATTTAATTAAATGAAATGATGTTATTTAAGGTAGGGATTCTAATTTTTTTTATAAGTTAAGACTAATCATATACACTTTTCTAGTGTGTATATATATATAATATCAACCAATATTATAAAAAATTAGGTAGAAAAAATAACCTAATATCAAGTTGTATTGAAAAAAATTAGGTAGAAAAAATATCCTAAAACTATAATGTTTTAATAAATCACCATAAGTAAAAAGGAAATGATTTTGGCATAACCTTTTTGTCACCTTTTGTACAACCTGATGTGTCATTTATATGATTAGTTCTTTTTATTCATATAAGTTTGCGATATTAAATACATCCATTTATTTAATGACACGTAAAAATTATATCAAAAGGTAATATAAAAAAGTTGTCCATATAATATCGTTGTAAGTAAAACTAAAATAACCTCTTTTATGCTTTAAAAATTAACATATTTTAGTCTTTT